TTTTAAAACATTCTTAGAAAAAAACAAAATTCCGATCCAAAAAACAAATTTCCGAAAACAGAATATTGTTGAAATGGCAAGCGATAACGCGTCAGTAATGATCGGATGTAACAATTTCTTTTATTCACATTTAAAATTAGAAGTACCGAATTTAATCATGTTAAATTGTATTTGCCATTCTTCCGCGATTAGCAAGTAAAGTCTGTGAAAAATTGCCCTCGCTTTGTGAAACTTTGATTAGAGAAGTTGCTACTTACATTTCGGACAGTGCAAAGAGATCTGTATAATTCTAGAAAATTTTCAAAATTTTTTAATGTTGAAAAAAAGAAGATTTTAAAATTATCCAATACCAGATGATTATGTTTGCATAAATGTGTAGTTAGATTACTTGAAAATTGGGATGTATTACGTAGTTATTTTGCTTTAACTGTTTTTGAAGATAAATTAAAATCTGCCGATAATATTTTAACATTATTAAACAATGATCTATTAAAGCTTACTTGTTATTTTTAAAATACTGCTTAAATTTTTTTAATAGTTTTAACGCTCTGTTTCAGTCTCGTAAAATTTTAATTCATAGATTATTTAATACTAGTAATCAATTAATTTCTCAATTAACTCAAAATTTTGTAACTTCGGAGGCTTTGATGCACATCGCTACTTTAAATGTAGACAATGAGAAAAATATTAAAGATCTGACTGATGTATATGTGGGACCAGAGTGTGAGGATTTTTTAAAAAAACAGTCTTTAGAATGCATGAAAGAAATTAAATTAAATTGTTTAGAATTTTATAAAATAGCAGTTAAAGAAATGATGAAGCGTTTACCTTATAAAGATTTCTTTTTTAAACAATTGAGTTTTTTAAAAGCTAAAATTATTTATTATGACGCCACTCTTCAAAATTTTCTCCTGCAAGTATAATGCGAGCGGCCATTTTCTCTGTTTCTTCTGCGTTTTTCGTCTCGATTTTAGCGCAGTATTCGCATCCAAAAGCCTCACATAACCGCCTAGATAATTAATCGGCATTCCCGTGAGATTGTCCTTTTCGATGAATAATTTCGAACTCAAATTCTTGAAGTCTTTCGAGCCAATGAGCCAATTGTCCTTCTAGATCCTTAACAGACATCAACCATTTTAACGATACATGATCTGTATGAATTACAAATTTTCTACCTAAAAGATAATGACGGAAAAATTTCAAAGAATCTATTATTGCTAACAATTCTCTTCTAGTCACACAATAATTCCGCTCAGTCTTGCTAAGCGTTTTACTAAAATAAGCGATCACTTTCTCTTTTCCCATCTGTCTCTGGGATAACACTGCACCGATACCGATATTAGACGCGTCAGTATCTAAAATAAATTTATCTTCTTCCTTAGGAAAAGATAATATTGGAGAAGACGATAACATCGATTTTAATTTCTCAAAAGCATCTTGGCATTCTTTTCCCCAAACAAATTTAACTTGATTCTCTGTTAATACGTAAAAGGGTTTTGCCAAAGAAGAAAATTCTTTCACAAATTTACAATAATACGAACAAAAACCGAGAAAACTTCGTAACTGTTTTCTAGTATGGGGGACCGGCCAATCTCTCACGGCTATAATATTTTCGGGATCCGTAGTAATGCCTTCTTCTGAAATAATATGTATCAAATATTTCGCATTGCTTTGAAAAAAAAATACATTTTTTGGATTCATTTTTAAATTAGTTTCTTTTAATCGCAAAAATACTAAATTCAAATTCTCTAACATTTCATCAAAAGTTTTTCCGAAAATTATTACATCATCTAAATATACTAAACATTTGTTCGATAAAAGGCCATATAAGACTTTTTCCATTAATCGTTCGAAAGTCACGGGAGCATTACATAAACCAAACGGCATTACTGTAAATTGCCGCAGACCCCTGCCGATAGAGAAAGCCGTCTTTTCTTTGTCCTCGGAACGGACTTTTAGTTGCCAATAACCGTTCTTTAAATCTAATGGAAAACCAAGAGTTACCTTAGAGTTGATCTAAAATATCGTCAATCCTGGGGAGAGGGTATGAATCTTTTATCGTCACATTATTTAATTTCCGATAATCAATGCAAAATCTTATACTGCCGTCTTTCTTTTTCACTATAACGGCCGGAGAGATCCATGAACTTTGCGATTCCTCTATTACTCCTTGTTCCTTCATGTCCTCAATAATTTTATCTACTTCCTTCCTTAAATAAATGGGAATTCAACGAGGTACCTGCTTAATGGGGAGAAAGTCTTTTATGTTAATGACATGTTCTACAACACTACAGTTGCCAGCCACAATGTTTTCAGAAAATACATTAGAGAAATCATTTAAGAAGTTTGCCAAAATTTTTTTCTGTTTCTTTTAAATTTAAAGAATTATTTTCAAAAAGATTTTTTAAAATAGTTGGAACTTTACAAGAGTTTTTAATTCTAGCACAATTAAAAGTTTTATTTTCTTTTGACTTTAATTCGTTAAATTCATCATCAAAAATATTTTGTAAATTAATCTTTTTAAGAAAGTCTGTTCCCAAAATACAATTATCATTTATGATAATACAATACGACAAACATAGGAATAGAAACACATTATCTTCCAATCTCTACTCTAACTTCTACTAGAAATTTAATTAGAACTTTTTCTCCCGTAGGATATTTTAAATTACAATTTTTAATTTGAATTTTTTCTACATCCTTATTCAACAATTTTTCATTTATAAGTGAAACATCGGAGCCCGTGTTTATTTTTAAAGAACATTTTTTATCGTTAATCTCTCCGAGATAATAAAAATCATTTTCTCTAATTCTACCAACACTAAAATCTACAAATCGATTCGATATCGGGGCTTTTTCGGAAAAAGTTGAGCTCACCCCGCACAGCTCAACTAAATCGCGTTTCCCTTCTTTTCAGGACACTCAAATAAAAAATGTCCCGTTTTTCCACATGTCCAGTATTCTTTGCTTTTCGAGGAAAAATTATTTCTTCGCCATCCCCATCTCAAAGGTTTTCTATTTTCGTGATTTGACTTTCGCGCGCTGTTTTCATTGTTCTTATTATTGCTCCCGTTTTTCTTATCGAAATCCTTTTGCGCGTTGTTCCTCCCCACTTTTTGGAAATTTGCGCTGTTAAATTTTCCGTAACTTTCTTTCTTTCAAAATTTTCTCCTTGAATGATTTTTACAGTCTTTGCTCTCTCAATGGCCAAATTTAAAGAGGTTATCCCCTCTAATTGAAGGGTCCTCCTCAAGAAACCATCATAGAGAGCAGAGATAAATTGCGCGCACGCGATTTTATCCCTTACCGCGTAAGGACATTCGGAATATGCAAGTCGCGACAATCTTTCCAATTCGACACCAAAAGAAGCGAGATCTTCCCTGAATTTTTGTTTCCGATTCGTAAATAAAGAATAATATTATAGTTTTGAATAAGATTTCCCTCCTCAAAAAGTAATTCTAATTTTGATTTTAACTCGGCAAAACTGAGGTTATCTAAATTCTCTATATTTTCTAAAACAGTTCGCGCTTTTCTTCTTAAATTCGCGGCCAAAGCAACGGTCTTCGCGGATTTGTCCCAATTATTCGCGCGCGATCAAAAGAAATTGGGAGAGGAATTCCCGCAACGGAACTTTCCCGTCAAACGTATCGGGTTTTACTTTGAAACCGATTCTTGCGCGAAGATCACTACTAATATCCCCGCAAGCTCTATTATCGGAGTTACAATACAAGAAGCGATATTATTGGAAGGACTTAGCTCGTTTTCCTCCCGCAAGGTGATTCTCTGCTCCAGCCGGCGCAGCTTCTCGTCGCGTTGTCGGAGCAAAGCTTCAAATTGTGTGCGCTCTTGCTCTCGTTGTTCTTGCAGCTCCCTGATTTTCCGGAGCGCAGTTTGCAGTACATTTTCCTCCAAAAGAGTCTGCGTATTCAGTGGTGTTTGCAGCGGAGCTTGTGAACGGGTTAGTCTGGGCGAATAATGGGTAGTCATTTTCTTAATTATTTTTCGTAGCTCGTTGTTTGTTCGATCCCGGGACGAGCCCCCAAAATGTTACGTCCTCGGGACGTCTCTTGCGCTGTTTCACGAAAGGTGTCACACTCTCACTCTCGCCCGGAATGAACAAACTCTCGTAATATGGAAAGGAGTTTTAATGAAACGACCCAATACAATAAAGTAAAAAAATACAATATGTAATAGGCCAGAATGTTCATCGGTCTCGTAAGCGTCCGCACGGTGCGACAGCTAGACTAAATCTAGTCATGGCGCCGGAAAAACATCCGAACGCTGGTTTTCTATAAACAACCTTCCTAGCAATGATGCTCAGGGGATGAAAAGGGATGAAGGTGCCCAGGGGATGTAAACCAGAGACGTAACAATATATTGCATATATAGTATTTTATCTTAGATATTAAATAAAATGTTTATTATTATTTTCATTAAATATGTATTTTGCCATTATAAAAATGTGTAATACGTACTTGTTAAGAATACTGGTAAGATTTTTGGCAGTTTTCCTTACCCATGCAACAAATGTTGGTATTCTTTGATTTCTGCCAAATAAATTTCAATTTTAAATTAAATTGTGTTAAAACTTCTTAACCTTTTATTTTTCTTTACGTGTATATTATTATAATTTATGTATATTAAAATTAATCAATAATTCAAATTATAAATTGTATAAATAAAAGCTAAACTCGTAATTTGCGTGTTATAACATAGGTATACGTATATGTATATATTTTATAATTTCATTATTTGTTTATTGTATGTTTATATTTAACATTTTTAATTAAATTTATTACATTTATAATTTTATACAATTTATTAATTATTTTAAAAAATTTTCAATAATTTAAGAAAAATTAAACAGAGGGGGAAATCAGGACCCCATTTTATGCGAGTGACTACTTCATTGATACTACATTCAATGCGCATGCGCGGAAAACCTAGCCCGTCTAACACTGCGCCCGATGTAGGGAAGGTGCCAAGCGAAAGTGCGCCGGGATCTTGGCTCGGAGGGCCGGAGCCTTTCCTCGCCAGGAAATGTAGAGACGTTGACCGATTCCGTCGTCGGACGATGATCTCTTCTTCTCCAGGAGGAAGGTTCTCCTTTTCCGCCGTTATCGTAGTTTATCCGATTCTTGTGGGAGAAGTAGGCATCGAGATAGAGATGGGCGATATTGTATCGATATTTGTAAATATCAATATTAATGATCTAAAATATCGATATAAAACATCGATAATTCAAGTACCGATATTTTGGTATATCGATACGAGATTTGCTTATATCGGTTTTCGATACGCCTTTTATTACAAAGACAAATTATTTATTTTATATACATGGCACATGCGCCTCGAGCGTCGGCATTATAGTGACAAAATGGTGGATGTGGCCCTAAGGCCATCTAATGCCTACAGTTAACATTAACGATTAATATTACTGCGTTTATTTTGATGTTTATTTTTATAACCTCCTTTGGACAAAGACAAAGAGCCGGTTGTTTCAACACTTCTAACTTTTGGGTAAGTTTTATCTGACAAATAGCATGTCTTCGTCTCTTTTTACAATTTTTCTTAAAAAGAAGCAAATTTTAGAAACTAACAATTTTTATTATTTTGCATTTAACTGTTCTTTGCTTGTGTATAGCTATTAATCAAAAAATAATTATTTGCATGTGATTAATGTGTTCGTTTTACTTTTTCAGTATTGGTTGGTTTGGTGTGAAGTAAAGTCCTAATTTTCGTCAGAACATATCCTTACTTTACATTTCTTCTATCTTTTTTAACTATAAAAAAGTATGCATACAATTCCATTGTTCCTTAAATTTCTTCCAATGCAACTTTTTCCTTGGATTTTTTAGAATAATTTTAATAATTGCTTTTTAACATATTATAATACTGTATTATTTTGTTTTATTTTATTAATTATTATATTTCATATTTAGTGCCGCCAAAGAGTACTTTTTGGAAACACTTTATAAAAAGTTTGGGAGGCGCAAAATGCAATTTGTGCCAACAATTTATAAAAACCAGCGGAAACACAACCAATTTGCGATTTCATTTAAAACAAAAGCATCCGGACCTTTGTAATATCAAAATGACAAGCTCTTCTGATGAGTCACAAAAACGGAAAGAAATAGTAATATTTCTATATCTTTATATAATATGTTAAATATATATGTTAAGACAATTTATACAAATTGAGAACAGAAAAAACTAATATAACTATAGTAAATTAAAAAATATATTCTTATATATGTATAATGTAATTTGATATATACAATTTGAAAAATAATTTTATAATACAAAATTTTTTTATTAATAGTCAAGTGAAGGTGAAGATATTGCATTGTATGAAGAAGACAACGATGAAGAATTAACGTTGTCTCCGTCAACAAGTTCATCATCTACATTTATAAATACACTAAAATACAAGAGAAAACAACCGAAACTTATAGACGCCTTTTCGAAACAAAAGTCATTCCAAGGTATATAAACTTTAGCATTTTATATCTTGTAGAAAAAGAAATAGAGAAAAAAAATATCACTTATAAAATTATATTGTTTTGCATTTTAAATCAATTATATTTGTTATTGATTCTGCTAGAATTTGTTTTTTTAACATACCAAATTTTGTATCTATTAATTTTAAATACTATTCAAATATTTAAAATTTAAATTAAATAAATAATCTTTTAACGTATATAGATATTTAATAGATATTTAATAAAGATATTTAAGACATTTAATAAATATTTAATATATGTATACAAAATACATTTTTATTAGAACATAAAGAAAGTATTTGTTCAGATAAGGAAATGTGGTAATTTAATTTTCATTTTTTTTAGATGGAGGATCTAAAGCATCGGAAATCACAAATAAACTCGTATTTATGATAGCAAAGGACAATATGCCTTTGTCTACAGTGGAGAAAGAAGGCTTTCAGATTTTTATAAAATGTGTGAGTCCCTTATACACCATTCTAAGTAGAAAAGTGATAACGTCTCTAATTGAAGAAAAATATGTTTATTTATCAAATTTGATAAAAGAGCAATTATCTAATGTAGAGGACATAGCGCTTACGACAGACATTTGGACTGATGTAAATACAAAAAGTTACCTCGGAGTAACCGCACACTATCACATAAATAATAATAAAAAAACTGTTATGATAGGAGTCACTAAATTAAATGATAGGCACACATCTGATAATATAAAAGAGTGGTTGCTCGATATAGTTGAGAAATGGAGTATTTCATTGCAACGTATAGTTGTTGTTTTTCTGATAATGCGTCCAACATAAAAAAGCTATAATAGAAGGTTTTGGTGAAGAAAAATATTTAGATTAATAAGAATATTTGTCAGTCAGCTCTCCTATTTTTTAAAAAACTCCATCTTCATCTCGACTAAGAGCCAAACGCGATGTTATTGCGACAAATTAATATTTAGAAATTTTTGGAAACTGAGGAATTTGACTCCTATGGTTGGGATCTCAGAAATTCCCCTTGTTCCTTCTCTTAACATCCCCTGTAAGAAAAAGACGAGAAAAATATTGGTCCGAAAGTCGGCTGAATCGGGAATCGAACCCGAGACCTTCCGCTTGCCGGGCGACTGCTCTTCCAGCTGAGCTATTCAGACACTTACAAATCAATATTTCTCTCAATGTTTATAACCCCCCACCCCCCACCAAGGCGTCGTACCTGGTCTAAACGCAACAAACATTAATAAGAATATTTGTCAGTCAGCTCTCCTATTTTTTAAAAAACTCCATCTTCATCTCGACTAAGAGCCAAACGCGATGTTATTGCGACAAATTAATATTTAGAAATTTTTGGAAACTGAGGAATTTGAATCCTATAGTTGGGATCTCAGAAATTCCCCTTGTTCCTTCTCTTAACATCCCCTGTAAGAAAAAGACAGTTTCCAAAAATTTCTAAATATTAATTTGTCGCAATAACATCGCGTTTGGCTCTTAGTCGAGATGAAGATGGAGTTTTTTAAAAATAGGAGAGCTGACTGACAAATTCTTATTAATGTTTGTTGCGTTTAGACCAGGTACGACGCCTTGGTGGGGGGTGGGGGGTTATAAACATTGAGAGAAATATTGATTTGTAAGTGTCTGAATAGCTCAGCTGGAAGAGCAGTCGCCCGGCAAGCGGAAGGTCTCGGGTTCGATTCCCGATTCAGCCGACTTTCGGACCAATATTTTTCTCGTCTTTTTCTTACAGGGGATGTTAAGAGAAGGAACAAGGGGAATTTCTGAGATCCCAACCATAGGATTCAAATTCCTCAGTTTCCAAAAATTTCTAAATATTAATTTGTCGCAATAACATCGCGTTTGGCTCTTAGTCGAGATGAAGATGGAGTTTTTTAAAAAATATTTAGGTTGTTATGCGCATACATTGAATTTGGTTCTTGCTAAAATTATAGAAGAAGATGAAATTGTAAATTCATTATGTAAAAAAGTCAAATCTGTTGTAACTTTCTTTAAAAAAAGTGTAGTTCTTTCAGATTTATTGCGAGAACATTCCAATCTAACATTAATTCAAAGCGTTGACACGCGGTGGAATTCCACGTTTGATATGCTTCATCGATTTATCCAATTATCCGACAAAATTGGATTGATTCTTTTACAACATCCTACAACTCCACCAATGTTATCGGCATTAGAATTGCAAACTATAAAAGAATTTATGCAATTGTTGGAACCATTTAAAACAGCAACAACTATATTTTCTGGTGAAATGTATGTTACTGGCAGTCAAGTTATACCGATAATACACACATTAGCAAATCAGTTAGAATCATGCAAACCTATTAGTGAAGTAGGGTGTTATATAAAAAAAAGTTTTGATACAAGAATTTAAAGCACGATTTAAAAATATTGAACATAAATCTCTCATTGCGATTGCTACTATTCTAGACCCTAGATTCAAAAAAATTCATTTTGTAGATAGAATTGCATGCTGTCATGCAATAAATAAAATAACAGATATGTTAAATATTGCCACTAAAAATAATGCACACAAAGAAAAGGAAAATAATTTTCATTCTGATTCTGTATATCAAAACAATTTTCTTTTTGGGCTTATCATGAAACATTAATAAAAGAAACAAAACGATATGTTTCTTCTAATACAAACAATGAAATGTTTGATGATACTTCGGACTGTATCGCCCATCCCTACATCGAGGCGCCGGAGATCTCTTGAGCGAAAATGCGCTAAAAACTTATTGTGGATTCCGCAGGAGGTCTGTCTTACTTATATTTCTTCCTGCGGGAATCTTAACTGCGGAAAAGCAACATTGGCGCGCGACGCCTAGCGGAGAGACTCGGTACTCCGTGCTGCTTACTTATGTAGTGCGCGCGTTGTATCTCGTGTACCGGTTTGTCTCGCGGGCGTGCGCCGCCTAGCGGCAGCGGCGGAATTAAACGCCGCCGCGCTTCTTGTGGCGAGTACCGCCACAGACAGGGATATGACGGATGCGCTGCAATGGCTGGAAATGAAAATGGAGTTAAAAACATTATTCAAAGAAAATATCCCAATATTTATTTTGTTCACTGTTTATCGCATAGGCTAAACTAGGTTATCCATGATTTAAACAAATTAAGTGAAATTAATTAATGAAAGGCTCGTATAAATTAACAAAATTAAACAAATCAAATATAGTAGGCCAACTGAACGAGCAAATAAATAAGGTGTAAAAATTTATTAATAGTTAAATAATTAAATTAACATTCCGTTACAGAATCGATATAAATTGTAAACGTTTCGACTGCACTACAGTCTTTATCAATACATAAAAGTTAAATATTAAAATACAAAGTTAAATGTTAAAAATACAAAGTTAGTTAAATATTAAAATATAAAATTAAAACGATTCTTCGCTGTTGACCAATAGATATGCAAGGCGATTGGTCTGAGATGCCAAGTTATGCGGCATTTAAACATGCTGCGGATATAATACGCGAATTAAATCAATGTCAGAGAAAATTAAAAAATCTTTCAACTTACATTATCGTTTTAACAAGTCCTTTTTCCCGATATTTCAAGTGTGTGTTGCGAAGTCTGAATAACAAATGTCAAAATAGAGAGCGTGATGTATTTATTTATTACCAATGTTTTTTCTAAATTATGATTCAGCAAGTTTTTTAAGTATGTCAAAATAACTACTGTCTAACAATTCGGTGTCTTTATTTAAATTAATTCCATTTTTCTGTTCTTTAATGTGGATCATTTCAGATATTAGTCTTTTATGGTAATTCTTTTCATGATCCATAATTTTAATATTGTCCCAGTCAAATGTATGTTGTTCGTTTAGAATGTGTTCCGTGACAACCGAATGTCTAGCAGAGTCTAATTTAATATTATTTTTATGTTCTTTAAGTCTCGTTCCTAACTGTCTTTTTGTCTGTCCGACATATGTGGCGTCACAATCGTTGCAATTCAATTTATAAATAACGTTAGAATTCGTGGGGCAATTATTTCTGTCCTTTTGAACTTTTATGAAGTCATTCAATTTTTTACTGCAACGATATCCTACCACTACGTCAGGTCTTCTTATTGCTGAAGCAACTTTCTCAGATATTGATTCTATATATGGTATGACAAAATATTTAATGTTAGTATTAATATTATTAGTATCTGTTATATTGTTATTATTAGGCTTGTTAAATTTCTTAGTTGAGAGATTTTTTAATCTGCGTTTTATTTCTGTGAAAATTAGATCAAGAGGATAACCGTTGGATAGCAAAATGTTAATAGCTTTCTCTATATTTTTTTTGTGAAATTGCGGATGTGATAGTAATAAAGCTCTATCTACCAAGTTATAAATTGTTCCTATTTTATGACAAGTCGGATGATTTGAAAAAAATGAAAGTAATCTACCTGAGAATGTCTTTTTGTGATACCAATCTAAATAAATTTTATTATCTATTACTTTGATCATTATGTCTAAAAAGCTTATACACCGATTATCCTCTTTTTCCAATGTAAATTGTAGTCTATCGTTATAATTGTTGAATTCGTTCAAAACATATGTAATATTGTCAGCGGAAGTGCATAAAATAATGTCGTCTACATAACGGAAATAAAAAGTCATTTCGCAATTTAAATTACTAATTACCAATGTTTCCAAGTCCTGCATGATTATATCGGCAATGATCGGAGAAAGTGGGGAACCCATAGGAGTCCCATAAATTTGTTTGTAAGTTATGTTATTGAAAGTGAAAAATGTAGAAGTTAATATAAATTTTATCATACCTATGAATTCATTTTTGGGAATCTTTGTGTGTGACTCTATAAAATGCCATCTATTATTAATACCGTTTAATGCAAGATCTACGGAAACATTAGTAAATAATGAAACAACGTCCAATGAAACTATTATGTCGGAATCTTGTATTGTTTTCCCTAATAGAATGTTGCATATATCCACATTAAAGAACAGAAAAATGGAATTAATTTAAATAAAGACACCGAATTGTTAGACAGTAGTTATTTTGACATACTTAAAAAACTTGCTGAATCATAATTTAGAAAAAACATTGGTAATAAATAAATACATCACGCTCTCTATTTTGACATTTGTTATTCAGACTTCGCAACACACACTTGAAATATCGGGAAAAAGGACTTGTTAAAACGATAATGTAAGTTGAAAGATTTTTTAATTTTCTCTGACATTGATTTAATTCGCGTATTATATCCGCAGCATGTTTAAATGCCGCATAACTTGGCATCTCAGACCAATCGCCTTGCATATCTATTGGTCAACAGCGAAGAATCGTTTTAATTTTATATTTTAATATTTAACTAACTTTGTATTTTTAACATTTAACTTTGTATTTTAATATTTAACTTTTATGTATTGATAAAGACTGTAGTGCAGTCGAAACGTTTACAATTTATATCGATTCTGTAACGGAATGTTAATTTAATTATTTAACTATTAATAAATTTTTACACCTTATTTATTTGCTCGTTCAGTTGGCCTACTATATTTGATTTGTTTAATTTTGTTAAATTAAATGAAATTAGAAATACTATTAGGACCATAAAAGAAATAATAAATTTCTTTAGAGAAAACAACATCCGTAGACAGCTTCTTCCTTCAATCCCTATACTATGCGAAACCCGCTGAATAGAGAAGCATAAAACTATTGAATTATTTAAAAGGCACTTAAAAATAAGAGCAATTACATAAAATCTCAGAAGGGACAACAAATGGTAGACAAAAAAAGCATTTTATTTATATAATGTTTCTACTAAACCTACATTTTTAATATGCGTTTTTATTATG